GACCCTCAACAAGATGGATGGACCCAGTGGCTGTAACCATGGGCTCCAAGGCAAAAAGCAGGATGAGGAGGGGCCAGGACTGGGCGGGGTTTCAGGCTGCTGAGTCAGACGGATTCAATGTCACTGAACAACAGTAACTAGCTCGTCCCCAAGTGCTCTATCAGGCTCAATCCTCCCACAAGGCTTCTCAGTTTGCCTTGAATCAATTTTGACTCTATATCTCTCAAGCTTACCATCTTATTCCTTAGTAGGAAGTAAGAGTAAATATCTCGTCTGTATTTGTGATTTAAACTGAATGCTCCACCTGGTAGGTTTTGTTCCAACTCAGACTTTTTGAATGAGTCCACATGCCCCAGTAATGCCAGAAGGTCCCTGATGGAGATTCCAATTGGAACTCTGCATTGGAAACATACAAGAGTGGAGACTTGTCAGTAAGTCCCTCAAGGCCAGCACTTGGTTTGCTGTTGTCAATTGCCATCCAGTGGATCCTGACCCATCAGTGGCCTCCCGCATAACAGAAGGAAATGCTGCCTGGCCCTTGGCCATTCTCACGCTCGCTGCTACAGCTGAATGCACGGTTGCAGCCACTGTGTCAGTCGGTCGTCTTCAATTGGGAGCTATGTTCATCATACTACACTGTGATATTAATGTGCACAATGTATAAACGAGTACTTGAAGAATCCTCTTCCACTATCCCCAGCAAGGACCGGAGGAAGAGGGTGTTTGTGAGGTTGCAAGGGCAAGTTGCTGCAGCCTCTCCTGTCAAGTCACAACCCACAGAAACAGAAACCATCATTACGGGCATCACAGAGGCAGGTGAGTAACTGGCTTTAACTCCCTGTGGTTGAGCCCATTCCGATTCGGGATGACCCGACATGACGGGGCACAACGGCCCCTGTGGGTCTCAGAAACTGTTACTCTTGCTGGAGTAGGAAGCCTCGCCTGTCTTCTGTGGAGTGGCTGGTGGCTTCTAACTGTGAGCCTTGCAGGCAGCAGCCTAAGGCATGGCCACCAGAACTCCTTATCTGGCTTTAAAGTAGGCTCTAAACTCCTTGAAGGAAGGGCTGTGTTTTTTCACATCGACAATCCCCGTCACTTAGAAGAGGACCCTACTGAGAAGGTGCTGGGTACTAACTGAGAGGCCAAAAGGCAGAGGTATCTGTTTAAAGAAAAACCTTCTAAATAATGCATTCGGTTTTCTTTCTTTTTTTTTAAATTGCTCAATCTTTTAAGGAAACTCATTCTTCTCTCACCTTGCAGTAAAATCCACTTGGAGATTTTCAAGGAAACAACGGTGTGTCACAAATCAGTTTGAGAAACCACACAAATTACGAGGCAGGGAGCAGAGAGGATCTATTTCAAGGATCTGTCATCAGACAACTTTAGAAAGGGGACAAGAAATCGTTCTCCTTGTGCCCTTGGTAAGACTGAAGCCGCAGGTCAGCATTTGCACCTACCCCCTGATGTCGCTGTGGGATAGCCAATGGGCTGCTAACTGCGAGGCTGGTGGTTCAAAAAAACCAGCCAGCTCTTTGTGGGAGCAAGAGGTGGCCATCTGCTCCTGTGAAAACAAACGTCAGACGCCTGATGGAGTCACCTACTCTGTCCTGGAGGGTCAGTCTGGGATGGAATCAACTCGATGGCGTGGTTCGGTCTTCGTGGTTCTGCCTGTTACACAGCACGATCACCACAGGTCTTGGGTCATTCAAGTGCCCAGGGAAGCCATCACATCTTAAGACACACATCACATCCTAAGACTATGTGTGCCATACAATTCCGCTCCATTGTATAAGGTGCTAGGTTTGATCTCTAAGGACAAGAGGGTGTCTGTCTTTGCAGGACGGCTTCGACGTAGGTCTGTTACTAGAAGGGATCCGAGGGAAGAACTGGAAATCACCAACTGAGAACCAGTAAGAAAAGAGAAGAAGGAAAGACCACCCGCGTTTTCCAAAGTAATGTGAATTAGATGGAGCTTGGAGTCAGAGACAGTTAGCTCGCGTGCTTCTTGGTCTCAGGGAGACGCTACATGACCTAGAGACACAAACAAAAGGCGGAAATGGTAACACGTGGCCCGCCCCTGGGGCCACTGTTTCCCACATCCAGATGATCACGGAGGATCACAGGGAAAGGACACCGCATTTGCCTTGCGTTCAAATACTCACTGGATCGGTACAGAGCTGAGCACACATGGCACTCTCGGGCTTCCAAAGAAGCTACAACACAATGCCAATGGGACTGAAACCCTGCTCAGCCTCGGTGCACACATGATGACACCGACTTGCATTCCACCAGTATCGGGCATTCCATGAATTTGCATTCCGTGGATTTCTATGGCCACCATGTTGCACAGCCACTTAATGAGACCCAGTTGACTTACCTACCCTCACACACCAAGAGGTTGTAACTGAACAGAAGACCACACCAGCCAGCTGGGAGCCTCCAGGGCTGTGTTACGCTGTTGATTATTTGATATCATCTAATACCCACCACCCCACTTGGTTGGTATGGATGCAGAAACACACTTGGAGACATGACATAACCTAGTTGAGATTTTTTTTAAAAAAATTACGAAAAGTGGTGCATCCAGGAAGCAGGCAGAGACGCTATTTTTGAAAATCTGGACACGGTATCCCGAGGAATCCCCTGAACCCCTGTTTTTTTTTTTTCTCAAACCTGAGCTCACCAGTGCTTCACTGGCCCGGGCCGCCCTCAGCTCTGCAGATCTCTGATGAGCCTCCATCCCAAGTGCAAAGATGGAGTGGGTCAAAACAGCACCGCCCAACTTACCTGGCAGAGGGGAAAAGGGGTCTAGCTCGAGACAGACCACAAGCCCAGCGCCAGGGAGGCGTGCTGGCACGAGCCATCTGGGGGCACGTGGCGAGTGGGTCCCTCGTGTCCTTGCCCTTGTAAGGGTGTGAAGCTGGTCCCATCTTGAAAGCGAGCACTTAGGAGGATTAGATGTGGCACTTTGGAAGGGGTGTTGAAACAGAAGATGGTTGTTTTTTTATGGAGGAGGCCTTGGCCACAGGACCGCGGATTTTGCACTTTGATAACATAATAATCAGGTTATTGGAAACACATTTCGAGCGAGGCATTTTTGTCATAGCTGAGAGTGGCCTGACCATCTGGTATGCATCTTCTCCGTGTAAGCTAATAAAAGGACAGGTTTTTCACATAAGCCGACTCCCTTTTAAGAGCCACGTTACCAAAATAAGGTGCAAGCTTTACACTCATCTCACGTTGTATAAGTAAGAATGCAAAACAAAAAACCCCAAAACACAGCACAAAGGCAAGTCACTTTAGATCCACACGGACTCTGAACTCATCAGCATGTATTATTAGGGAAGGAAATGAAACATTTCTGGAAACGTGGAGCGACATCAAGCCCAGGGAAGCCCCCCTTCCGTGTCCTCGGCAGTGGCATTCTCTTCCCCAGATGAACCAAACCCAACACACCAAGCTCCACGATGTTCTTCCTCTAGGAGAAGGGGCTCCAGGGCTAAGGACTTGGCTCTGGCCTTGTTTCTGCTGAAGCAAGCGAGGGGGTGGGGACCACTGAGCTTGTGAGCAAAGGAGAGACCTTGCTAATCTTTGCCTATCCCTGCTGGCATCTTCAGCCCCCATCCAGCCTGTGTGCAGGCATGGCAGATAGACCGCATCTGCTACTCTGATGGCGGAAGCAGGGGCCTGCACATGCCCTGTGTATGTCTGGAGGTATGACTATTCCAGCCCCAGTCAGTAGGAGCTGGGAAGAGGGAATGCTGGGGGCTCAGGGTAGTAGGAAACACACCCAAACCTCTTGGCGTCAAATGAGGTTCCTGGAAGGGGATAAAACAATCATCCACATCTAGCACATGCCAGTAGGACAAATTTGGAAAAGACATCCAATTCCCTGAGATAATGCATGTCAAATGGATGGATGGAGGGTGAGGGTGGGGGATGTGTGTGGGCAGAAGACAACTGGAGTAATTAGCACTTTGGAGGGAAGGAAGGATGTGCAAAACTCTGGAAACAGGGCACTTCTGTTCTCAGAAAATGCTAGGCCGGCATTTAGATGATGGGTGCTCCTTCTGTAGAGTAGACCCGAGGGCCTTGTGAACAGGACAGACATTTCTAGGTGGACACCTTGTTCATGCTGTGGACATGACATCCATTGTGCCTCTTCCTTACACACTCATAGATACACACACACACACACACACACACACACACACACGAGGCTTCAAAAAGTTCCTGGGGGACAAAAAAATCCATCACCTTCTAAAACCACTTTTCCATACACTCGTTCAAGCTCCCTTGTGTGTTTGTGTGTATCTTGTAAAAGGACAGTGACATCAAAAGCATATCATTTGACTACACACCAAGGAAATTAGGTGACACACTTTCTGGACGTGGGAACTACTGTGCTAATCCCAGAGGTAGGTCCCCAACCCTTCTCATCTCGAAGGACAGGGGCTAAGGCAGGCTCAAGAATAAGCTGATAGGCCGCTATTTCTTAAAACAAAAAGTCTTGTGATGTTCAAGAGAGAGCCTCAACACTACCCCTACCAGGACCGTGAGGGGAGGCACCCAGAAAACACACTGGCCCTCACCCAAATTTAAAGAAATAACTCTTCCCGGAACGCAGGCTCTTCAAGTGATCTTGGAAGTCCACTACCTATCTGAGCGCAGCCTCTGAATTCCATCCTCCACGGCCATCTTGTTAGCAAAGATGATGGCGGAAAGGTGGCACGAGCCCATCAGATCTCCCTGTTCCCTCACGGAGCTGCTCCCACCGCCTTCCTCAGTCAGGTAAACAACAGGAGTACGGCACACTGGGAACCAGGCATACATGTCTCCCTCGTGTGGCCCTGAGGGTCCAGCAAGAGAGCCATTTGTAATCAAAGGAGGGTGCAGGGCTGCTCTTTGGGGCTAAGAACAGATGTCTTAGTTGTTTTGGCAGCCGAATGAGCATTCGCAGGAGGGGTTAAGCAATGTCAGGGTCAAGGGTATAGACTTACGAAGTAGCCTGTCCTCAAGCTGGAAGAAGCTGAACTCTGTAATAAAGCACACAGAGAAAGTGGAAAATCAGCCATGGTTTTTAACACGTTCCAAACCACACAGCTCATTACCAGCCCCACGCAGGCGTTTCTCACGACAGCACATCGCCAGTGTCATCTGCCCCTTGTCATCTGCGGCTGATACAAGCACCGTGTAGCTTAATTTCCCCCTTTACATCTCTCAACAACTCGGAGATGCTAACGTGCTATTTACTGAATTCCAAGCTTCTGCAGTGGATGTAATTGCCAATTTATTTGACAGGCAGCTGGGTAATGAATTAATGATGGCGTTGCGCCCTGCGCTGAGACTAAACAGGCACGCGTCAGCCAGCCTCCCCGACTTGCTGACATTCAGTGGCCTGGTCTCCAGCTACTGCGTGGTGTGGCCGCAGAGGGGCAGCAAGAGGAAGGGGCCCAGCTTGACTTGAGACTAAAATGCCCACTGGGCTTGGATGACTTTTCCAGCGGATGACCTACTTGCCAGCTTACTCCCTGCAGGCACGGGTTAGTACACACAGGGCGCTTTTGGAAGCCAAAAAAAAAAAAAAAAAAATACCGAGACATTTTGTAAACACAATTAGTTGTCTAAAATGCAGGGAATGTGGGGGCAAAGGGAGGCTGGGAGCAGCCCAGTTTCTGCAAAGGTTTGAGTCACAGCAACTGTCCCGTGGGCTGCGGTGTTTCTGGCTCACAGACTGCCTACGGAGAGAAATCATCAGGAAGTAATTCAGTTCTTGGAGAAAACAAGCAAAGTAGTGGTGGGGGTGGGGTGGTTTTCAAACACACTTTAAACCTGTCTTTGTCCCCTGAAAAACCTCTCCTTACACATGATTGACTGTTGGGGGTTTTTGTCCCCAGCATCCTCTTCTTCCGATGTTGAGCCCTGGCCCATCAGTCAGCGAGGGTTTCCAATGCTTTGCTCGATCCCCACCATTAAGGCCAATTCTGCGTTGAGGAGGCAGCTCTTCCCAGGTCGTATTTTGAGCACTGTCCCAACCTGGAGAGCTCACCTTCCCAAGACGGATCACACCATGGCCCAATGCTGTTCCTAAGGTTTTCAGTGGCTCATTTTTCAGAAGTGGACCACCTGCCTGTTCGTTCTCTCTAGTGTGTCTCAGCCTGGAAGTTCCGCTGAACCCAGTCCACTGGGTTGACCCTCCTCCTGGTAGATGAAAGGTTGGTGGCACCATGTGAGCCACCAGAACACATCAGAGGAACCGTGGCAGGTGGATAAAAGCCAACAAACTACCCACAGCAAACTCCCTGCCATTGGAGTCGATTCAGACTCACAATGACGCTGTAGGACTGAGCAGAACAGCCCCTGTGGACCAACTCTTCACTGGAGTAGAAAGCCTCCTCTTTCTCCCACCAAGGAGCTGCTGGTTGTGAATAACTTCCTTGCAGTTAACAGCCCATCACACCAGCACTATGCACCAGGGCTCCTCTGTGGATAAAAGAAGTCACAAACAGGTTTGGGTTGCAAGGATGGATGGTGTTGGGTCAGCCATCAGCCTGCTGGCCTTGGGGCATATTTCATCTTCCCTTTAAGATGAGACTCGAATCATGAACTCTTGGTGGTTGGTTGTCTGGCAGAACCCTCCCCATCCATGCAGGCGACCTGGGCTCCATTCCCAGCCAATACACCTCATGCCCAGCTACCACCCTTTGTGGGTGGAGGCTTGAATTGTGCTATAAGGCTGAATGGGTTTATGGAGAGCTTCCAAACTAAGACGGACTTGGAAGAAAGATCTGGTGATCCATTTCTGAAAATCAATCAATGAATACTCTCTATGGGTCCCAGCAGTCTGACTGACCAACTGGGTTGGAAGAGTACCATGTGGTCCTATTGTGTCTGGGGTCACCTTGATCTGGGGCAAACTCATCAGCAGTTAATGAGCACATGCAATAGACACCTTCCACCCTGTTGGCCCAGTGGTGCCATTACCTTGCAGCAGGTCCGTTGCCATGGCCTTGCCTGACTCTGCAGATGGGAGGGGCCACCTGGCTTAGCATTGTTGCATGCCCCGACTTTAGCAAAGGGCGGAGCACCTGGAATGCTTCCAGAAGCCTTCGTTGAACTAATCTATATACAAAGGACTGAGTGGTTGGTGTTCACAGGTGAAAATAAAAAAAATTATAAAAACCCTCTAGAGCAGTGGTTTCTCAACCTTCCTACTGCCGTGACCCTTTCATACAGTTCCTCATGTTGTGGTGACCCCCAGCCATAAAATTATTTTCATTGCTACTTCATAACTGTAATTTTGCTACTGTTATGAATCGGGTGACCCCTGTGAAAGAGTCGTTTGACCCCCAATGGGGTCTTGGCCCACAGGTTGAGAACCGCTCTAGTGAATTTCCCCAAAGCGGGTGGGGGGCACCAAACTCCCTGCCATCCCATCACCTCTGACTTAGCAACCCTATAGGACAAGGCAGAATGGCCCCTGTGGGTTTCGGAGTTGATAGCGCTTTATTGGAGTAGAAAGCCTCTTCTTTCTCCATGGAGCAGCTGGTGGCTTTGAAATGCCAACTCTCAGGCTAGGAGCCTAATGCATGACCACGATGCCACCAGGGCTCCCTGGCGAACGTAGCATCTCCTCAAAGACAACCGTGTGAATCTTCCTGCGATTGCAAACTGCCGCTTCACAGGGCTGCAAGGACCTCCTCCACAGCAAGGGCAGCGTGCCCCTGGGAATCCATCCCTAAACCAGGTTCCAAGGGCAAAATGTCCTGGGGGTGCATGCGCCCTGGCAATGGGTCTTGCCCACCGACTTGGTTGACTTAATGGGAAAAAAAACAACAACATGCATATATATGTGTGCATCAATGTATGTATGTATTCTAATTTTGCTGCATTCTTGATTCCCCTAAGCAGTATGTGGGGAAATTCACAGTCGTCATGGAGACGGCTCCTCCTGCCAGCCAGGCACCACGTGACAGCGTCACCTGTTGTCCTCCCCACTCAGTCTTCCAGGGAGCGGCAGGGGAAGGCCAAGCCAAGCCGGGTCTCCAGCAGGCTGCAGCCAGGCCCCCGGGGAGGTGCAGTCCTTGTAGGGCCAATGACCCCAAGAGACCAGAGGATGGGTGTCTATTGGCTGTGCATCCGCTTCCTGCAAATGCCTTGTACCCCGGGAGGGACGAGAAGGGTCCTGCCACGCCCCCTTCCTAATCGCCCCCACCCCCTACCTATCTGGTGGCAGACCACAGAGAATGAGGGCTCCGCAGCCCCCGTGGCAGGCTCGTTTTGCATATATATTGTACATGACGCAGGGAGCGGGGTGGAGAAGGGGGCCCTTTGTTGCGCACATTTGTCCAGACGATTGTTTATGCAGGTCTGAGTGAATGAGGGAACAGTGGGTATCATTTCAATTTCTGATGTCAACATCAAATTACTTATTTAATTTCATGCCTGGCGAAGCATTGTATAGCTACACGCAGAATCATTTCACTTCATTTGTTATGCTGTGTTTTCGTGGCGATTGGCTTGCCTTCCAACTGACAGCTTTAATTACGACATGAATTTGATTGCACTGCCGAGGAATTAACATAACGCAACAAAGCATTTAAGGGCCCTGCCTAAGAACAAGCCCCACTTCTGCCCCACCTCACCCCCCACCTCGCCTACACCCCACAGACAGGAGAGTCTTCCACATACCCATGACCCACTGGAGTGTCGATGCTTACTAGAACATCGCAGCATCTCCAGCTTAGCCCAACCCGAGGTATTCTCCCTGTCCCTCACCCCTCTGTAGAGGAAGAGAGATCTGAGGCATTATGTGTGCTTTCTGGATGTGGATAAAACTAGGGACGAAGGCCTTCTAATCTATCCCCTAAAAGTCCACGGTAATGACATTTTCCTCCCTTCCTACTTATTCCTCCAACATGCTTTTATTGGCCATTTGTCTGCACATTTCAATCATGGCTGCTGGGCTGGAATCGAAGAACAAAAAGCCCATCTGCAGACAATGGGACATCCCCTTACAGAGGGGTCACC